GTTTTGAGTTAGTTAGTATTTGGGAGTTCAATAAATTGTTGTGTTATTTTATTTGCTTACTGGAATCATTCGAACCCCGGGAAACGTAACAATATTCTGTTTTTGTACGGTCTGTAATAAAGCCACCCAAATACTAAAAACACTCTTTTGCTTTTCGAGTGATACGTTCTGAAGCAAGGTATTAAACAAAGTCCTGGCTGATTGGGACATAAAGGGCAATAATAAATAGAATCCTTCCTTTGTTGTCCATTTTCCCAGCAAACTTGACACCTCCTTCGTTTGATGCGACTTTTGGGCCTTTCACTTTTAGGGCATTGTTCAGGAAGGTGAGTGATTCTTAATTTTAGCAATGGCTCAGCTGCAGGTGAACCAAGAAGTTTTTCAACCACAGATAAACTAAAATCATAGAAGCTTTTTTTGGCATTTCGATTTGCCTGCTTATAGAGGTGGAATGAATTTAGCAACATCATTTGGAATATATTGTACCGTGGATGGCCGAGTATCAAACTCTTTCTTCAGCTTTCAACTTTTATTCAACTCGGTATCACTTTTAAATACGGAACAGAAGCAAACTAACTTCTAAATTAACGTCAACTTCACAAACAATAACAATAACAAACGGAAAACTCGGACTTCCGACTGGCGGGGTTTAACCTCTTCTAAACTCTGTCGCTGCTGTCACTTCACTGACTCCCCATGGTTCTCGTCGTCGCTTATATAGTTTCCTCCAGGTAACCGAGAAGGTTCACGAAATCTCCAACCCAGTTGCGAAATTTCCCGCTTGTCAGTGTCATATTTGACAGTAAACGGGGCGCCAATGGGGCTCCCATTTACTGAAATACCATGAATTTCAATCCCCCATTCCAAACGTGAGTACCCCAGGCCATTTCCGTTACACTGCCCCCCTTTCAAACCCTGATCGTCCCGATTAGGTAACTCTTGGATCATCGTTATATCTGGCCAAACGGTGAATGTGGACAATTTTAAATTTTGCCTGAGGGCTCTTCTGGATCCGATATGTGACATCGTTGAGTCTGGTGATTATCGTATAGGGTCCCTCCCAGCAGTTTTGAAGCTTTGGACAACGGCCTTTTGTCCGTCGAGGATTGAAAAACCAAACTCTTTCACCTGCGCTAAATCCGACTTGATTCGGTCTGGCGTCATATCGGCTCTTGATTCGATCAGATTCGATCGTCAATTTTGTTCTGACCTTATCGTGTACAAGTTTCAGTTGTTCTGCTAGCTTGAGTCCACAATCTTCGGCAATTTGTAAATCTTCTGGTCTTCCTGTGTGTAGATCAATGGGAAGTCGCAATTCCCTCCCAAATAAGATTTCTGCCGGAGATTTGCCAGTGGATTCATGGACTACTGATCGATAGGCTAATAAGAATGGAGCAAGTTGCGTATCTCAATTATCCTGCTTACTGTTGACCACAATTCTCAGATAGTTATCTATGGTTCTGTTAAATCGCTCTATCATGCCATGAGATTCTGGGTGCAAAGGTGTTGTTCTTGTTTTGTGAAT